CGTTTACTTCCGTTCGTTACGTTACGTTAACTTCTACTACGTACTTACGTACGTACTTACGTACGTTACGTTGTTGTTGTGTGTGTGTGTGTGTGTGTGTGTGTGTGTGTGTGTGTGTGTGTGTGTGTGTGTGTGTGTGTGTGTGTGTGTGTGTGTGTGTGTCTGTGTGCGTGTGTGTGTGTGTGTGTCTGTGTGCGTGTGTGTGTGTGTGTGTGTGTGTGTCAAATGTAATTACACGCATGTATAGGATGGACTCGTGGTACGGCCGGGTAGGCGTGGGCGTGGGCGGTAGTGGGGCGGGCCGCGTGGGCCTCGCGTGTATAGGACCAGCCGACCACCTGCACAATGTAAACGCATTGCTGGCTGAGGTCCGGTTCAGAACGTCGGCAAACAGGCGGGGAACAGATCTCCTTTATTTATTATAGTTGCCGCGATATGATCAGTATCTGCGTAGCTGTGCCGCGGCTGGTGCTGACATGCGAGAGAGCGGCGTAGCTAGAACTGAGGGTTTAACTGCGAACTAGGTGCAATACGACTGGATTCGATTTGGCTGGATCGCCGGGATTCGAATTTTGAATCGAGGCATCGAGATACATCGAGTCTATGCAACGCGCTGGTACATTGATGCTTAGTTTATGATAAAGCTGTGAGCGTATTCTGCTATAATGGATGTCATTTCGTTTAGCAACGGAAAATTACACATGGCAATGTATCTTCGCAATGCTGAAACGGTCGCTGTATCTATATAGCTAGTGTAACCATGAATTGGAGGCGCCGCAAAAAGCAACTTCACTGGCATTTCTTCGTTACTCGTAGAGACGCAATAACAAAGGTTTCTGGTTAATTTGTTAGCAATCCTTTTTACCATATTGGTGTTACTGAATCATTTGAGGAACATACAGGTACACTTTTCTTGCATCATTGTTTGATTGACGTGCGATTATCTATTTACAACGACGAGTACCAGTCTCATCATCCAGTGCCCAGTGAGAGGCTCTACTGAAATCAACTGACCCAAACCAGCTCATCATTTGATTCATTATGAATGACATCTAGTAAGCAGAAAAACGCTCACCATATCCGGAATAAAAAGAGGAAAATCACGGTTGCAGTACAAATTGCGGTAAAACTGCTGTAATGTAATGTATAACGTAAAAGTTTAATTACATTATCAATGTGTATTTCTTTGCAGGAACAATATGTTCTGTCGTGATAGGTTGGCTATTGATGCTATAGTGACATGTTTTTTGCACATCTTCTATCCAAACGCCGTTTATCCGATGGCGCAATCCTTTGCGGTTTATTGTAATAAGAGTGTCACCGCTATCACATGTACGTGTTGTCAAATATTGTCGAGGCTTTGCTATTGAGTTTAAACAACGACGAAAGCACATGTGCAATACTGGAAGTATGTTACAGTAGAGCCTAGCGTTGACGGATAATATTGCAAGCAAATCTGAGCTCAATATAAAGTGGGCGCGAGATAAAGAAAGAAGTAAATTGTGCATATATTACTGAACAGTAAACATTAAACGTTCATGTTAACAAGAGCGGATAATACCTAGTATAGTATATTTCATAGGATAATAATAGTAGGTATTATCCGCTCTTGATGTTAAGGTGCTCCCGCTAGCAAACGTGCACGTGCAAAGTTACACGTGCTCGGCCTCTGCACAGATAAGCTTAGCTCTCAAAATATTGCATTGACCAAAAAATATAAAATTACATGATGTGGCGCCATCTAGTGTCAGAAATTGACATTTAGATAGAATATTTAGTATAAGTTAGCTATAAAGTAAATAAGGTAAATAAGTTATAACCAAATAAATAACGATGTTTACATCTTTTGTATGCACGTGTAATATCACCTTTGTACTTGGAACAAGAGATCTCGGTCAAGTTAATGTGCATTTAGTTTTTTTCTTCTGATATTTCTGATTTTCTGATACTTCCCACTGATATGTGACAGGTGGTTTGAGTATATATAGCGTTTTCCTTCAATCCGTCTTGCCGAAATTGACCGACCACGGATTGTATCTTCGAGCAACTCGGGCCCGATGGACATCGGAATACTTATGGACTCCAGATTTTCCGCGTTCATTGGGTGCCCTTTTGCCATGCAATATAGGCAACCACACGATACAACAAAGGTATCTTATATTATATACGAACAATCTCGTAACAGCAGAGACTGAATGCACGGTCGGCCCATTTCATTGCCTGTATATTTCGTATACGGGCTAGTGTACTTCATTCGTTGCTCTTGCAGATAAGAGTGTAATCGACATAATATGCCATTGTAAAGCAGGGAATGACAAACCACCGCTTACTGTTCTGTATTCAATCAATCAATCGAATTTGTCAACTTATAGATTTTTAGGGATCTGGCATAAACAGAACTTTTTAGGCATGGGATGTACAAAAAAAAAACAGATATATTTAACAGAATATAACGGAGTATTCTAACTAGCGTAACTTTATTTCAGGGATACATGAACTCAATTAATTAATTAACAAATTTAGCTATCGTACACCAGATTATATAAGCATGTATGCATGTAGTTTACTAAATATAAGTATTGTTTTCAAACGTATTCGGAAAAGGAACTTATAAAGTAACGACGTTCCGTCTAGTCCGACTATTACGTTATACTTCTTTGCTATATGTAAATGCCACGGGAGCACGTCCCAGAATCACGAAGCGGATGCGTGATAATCTCTAAAGAAATGTGCGACCTAAGAATTGCGAATATTCACCCCGGTGAGGGGGTGGTGGGGGTGGGTGCCGAATGATGAAATCTATTATTAATAAATATCACCCACGATCTATATATAATTGCAAACCTCTCAGGTTATGGACCTATTTGTGTAGTAATTCAAATTATTGCTTGGTATCTAGTTTGACAAGACAGAATAGACCATTATAAGATGCGAATTTGGGTGTTTATGGAGGTGGCGCTGCTGACTCCTTACAAGACATTGCTGCAGTGATATCTGTGTACGCACTCGCGCGCGCATAACTTCACGTGAATACTTGAATAAATACGAATAGATGCGGTTCAGCTCGCACTCAAGGCTGGCTTATATTGCTGAAAATGCTGTGGAAAGCAACCGTGATAGTTCTCGTGGTATTGGTGGCTCAGCTTTCCGCCGTACCGCTACGCGATCAGCTCACGGTGCGAATCCGGGCCACCAAGCATAAACCTACCGTTGAGAAGGATGCCGAGCGCTTTAATGAGGTGGTGCACGTGGAACCAACCAAGGCATACACCTATATGCTAATGAATGAAACTGTTGATAGCTACGACGACGTAAACCATGGTGTGAATTGGGAAGATACTAATAACGACACAAGTGTTAGTGGCAGCGGCAACGGCGACGGAGTGGAAGCTGAGGAAAACAGAGAAGAAACTATGACAAACGAAACTGAGAACGAAGAAGATCACAAGGGGACGAAAGAGACGGCGAATAATGAAGAAAATTCCGATAATCAAGACAATGAAGGTGATGCTGATGCTGATGCTGACAACGAGGATGCTACTGCATATAATTACAATGAGGATAATGATGGTTGTGATGAAGGCGACGACGATGGTAGCAACGAAGACGACGACGACGACGACGAATCGTCATCATCATCGTCGTCGTCATCATCATCGTCGTCGTCATCATCATCGTCGTCGTCATCATCATCGTCATCGTCACCGTCATCGTCGTCATCGTCGTCGTCGTCTTCATCATCATCGTCGTCATCATCGTCGTCATCATCGTCATCGTCATCGTCATCGTCATCGTCGTCGTCGTCGTCTTCATCATCATCGTCATCGTCATCTTCGTCATCGTCATCTTCGTCATCTTCATCGTCTTCATCATCGTCGTCTTCATCGTTGTCATCTTCATCATCGTCATCGTCGTCGGACGATGATGATGACGATGACGATGATAATGACGACGATGATGATGAAGACGACGATGGCGACGATGATGAGGACGATGACGATTGTGATGATGATAATGATGATGACGAAGAAGAGGAAGAGGAAAACGTAAGGGAAGACGAAGAGGAAGAGGAAAAAGAAGAAGAAGATGAAGAGGAAGACGAAGAAGAAGATGAAGAGGAAGGGGAGGCGGATCAGGAGGAAGAGGATCAGGAAGTAGAAGAAGAAAAAGAAGAAAGGAGAAGAAGATGATGATGATGCATCAGCAGGAATAATATGGAAATGGGCAACTTTTAGCTGCAATCCGCAGGTATAAACTGGTATTGATCGATCCATCATTATTTACATATCATGAATACAGGCGTACATGAATTAGAGATCTCTGGTTCCTGCACCGCTGATTATATATTATATGTATATATATATATATATACAGAGAGAGAGAGAGAGAGAGAGAGAGAGAGAGAGAGAGAGAGGAGAGAGAGAGAGAGAGAGAGAGAGAGAGAGAGAGAGAGAGAGAGAGAGACAGACAGAGAGATAGAGAAAGAAAGAGAGAGAGCGAGAGGAAAAAG